CGGCCGCTCGCCCCGGCGTCCCCGCTGCGGCCGGGACCCGGGAGGTCCTGCTGTCCCCGCGCCCGCGGAGTCCGCGCATCGCCCGTGGCTCCCGCCGCCGGAGCCCGGCCAGCAGCGCTTCTATTGGGGAGATCCTCCCCGCGGTCCGTGGGCCCCGAGGCTACCCAAGTTGGCAGTTCCTGCCTCTCTCTATCTCTCCAGCGGGTCCCTAGAAGCCTCAGGTGGGACACCATGGGTTTCTGCCTTCATTTTATTTTCACTGAAACAACTTCGCGAAGGCAAAGCCAAAGTCAAGCATACGTTCTGTTCTTGGTATTTATTGGCAAAAGTTCCCGGAAATAGAAAGGGTGGGAGAGAACTCGCCAACCTCGTGCGTCCCGGATCACCGGCCCTGAGGCTCTTAGCTGCCCTAGAGCTCGCACACCAATCACCTGCGCACCTGCCCACAGCGTGGTGGCAGCTGTCCTGAGCTGGTGAAGGCCCAGGAGCCACTGTGCCCCTCCAGCCCAATGTCTTCGGGTTTAAGAAAGAAGCTGGTCCAGCAGAAGCGTCGAGGAGCTGGCCACGGACTGAGCCAAGCGGCTGCCCAGAGCCCTGGCGGGCTGTTGGGCTCCCCGGAGGTCTATCTACGTTTTGTGGTGCGCTGCGGGAGAACCACAGGGCAGCGGTGCCTTTGGCACCTTGGGGGCCGCAGCCCACGCCAGACTGCCCAGTGGCCTAGAGAGGAGTTTGTGGCGGTTCTCCGGGCCACACACAGGAAAATTCGGGAGCCGGGTTCCCAAGGACCGGGAAACTGACTGAATTCCCTGAAAGATGCTTGCTTCTCTTTCCAGGCTGAGTCAACATTCCTGCCAGCACCTCCCTTGATTCCGGCTCCCTCAATTCCTGCGTGCTACCTGGGGTGTCTGTGACCTGCTCCTTCTCTCCCCCTTTTTGTGCCTTTCTCGCGTCCTCCTCGGACAGATAGCATTTTACCGCAAATCCCTGTGTTCATAAAGATCATATCATCACAGAACCCACAAGTGAGTCTCACCCCAAAATACTCGCATAAACAGGGCCCAGTGTCTGTCCTCATTCACAGGGAGGAGGCATCAGTGTGACTGACTTATCGGAGGATACACGGCCCCTAAGGGACTGAAGAAACCCGAGCCTTGTCAGATTCTCCAAATACCTGATTCATCTGTTGTCTTTACTTTCCATTACTATATATTTTTTTACTGTGATTTTCATAAAATCTCATCTTCTACCCTAACCCTTGCCTGCAAATTTCTTTGGTGGAAGGAAATTAACTAAAATTAACATTGCAACTCTCCCAGAAGTTAAAATTAAATATTTTCAAATATTTGTAATAAAATTTCCTTTTGAGAAGCTTCCAAAAACCTCTGGGGTAAAGGCTTTGAAGTCACAAAAACAGACCTATTTGGGGGTCTGGACTACAACTTACTGGGAGAGAGACAGTCTTTCTGGGGTCAACTACCAAGTACTGTATAAACTGGGGTATGAGATGCTGGCTCCCAAAGATGAGCGACAATGTATCTCCTATATGTTGTGGAAAGTGTCCAATGTGGCCATTACTACACACAGGATATGTTATATTCCAATCTCAAAAGTATTGTACTGGGCCGGGGAGATGGCTCAGTGGAATAAGCGCTTCCCTGGCAAGCACAAGGGCCTGAGTTCAATCCCTGGTTCCACCAAAATAATAATAATAATAATAATAATGTACTAGCGTTTGTGAGTAAGCTTTTCTTCCATCCTTTCTGTAACTTTGAATTTTTCAATATAAGAAAACAAATAACAATTCACAAGATGTTTTCCAGAAACCCTATTTCCATGACTATGGCTTAATGTGTGCAGTGTAAGTGTTCTGTAGTTACTGAAATTGGAATGGGACCAGCTTCAAAGGGAAACGGCAGCACCGCAGCAACAGCCTGAGGTTAGTGCCCACCCGCTCAGGTCCCCCCAGCTGTCCCCAAGACCATACTGAGCAAGCACTGCTCTGCTATAAATCAAGCATCAAGCGCATTAAATAGTTTCAATGAGAAAAAAAAATTTAATTTCCCTCCTCCCACTTTTTTCCAGGGGTGGTAAAAAAGCATAAGAACCCCAGCTGGGACTGCGACCCTGTCCATGGCTATGCTGTGCCCTCCCCTGTCCTCTGAGGTGTGCTTCACAGCGATCAAAGCAAGAGAAAGGCTGAGTCACCCACTTCACACAGGGAGTGTGACTGCAAGGTGAGAGAGCTGGCTGCATCTCTTTGTTCCACTCTGCGGAAGCATCCTGATCCTCCTTGACCTGCAAATGCACTGCAGTCAGGCGGAGCAGCTATTATTCTTTATTAGTGCATTAAGCATTTACCAAGAGTCAGCTGTCCTGAGCTGCCATAGGCTGTCCTCATCCGCAGTCACCCTGTGCAATACCTGCCTTTATCTGTTTCATAACTGAGGAAACTGAGTCTCAGCTGTAAGAAGCTGCTCAAAATCACCCTGCTTTTGGGGGACAGAAGGAACCCAGGTAGCTCAGCCTGTCCCTAGAGTTCCTCACATGCCTCTACACTGACTCAGTGACAGATGTAGAGCTGAGACCTCACCTGTCTTCCAATATAAAATGTCACCTGCATTGTGATTCGACTACCACTCATGCCCACCTAGGTGAGTAACACAGCAGGAGATGTCAAGTTGACAGTGCGATGAGAAAATTTAAAGGAATGAAGGGACTTGGTAGGAGGTGGCCACAGGTAGCAGGAACTGGAACCCAGGTCTCTTGTTCTAGGGCCATTCTGAAATGTGCCAGGACTCTTGCACTCGGACTTGCTTGGTATCAGTACACATTTACTGAGTTCTAGACACTGGACAGAGAAGTTTTCTCGTACCTGCTTTCATTTACTATCGCCACTTTGCAGAATAAGAAGACTGATGGAGCTGCCTGACATCTCTGGGATACTGAACAAGAGCTCAGAAGTTCAGACTCTGATCTGTATCTCTGTGACCCTCTGTCCTGTTTTCAAAAAGGAGGAAGCTCCTTCCAAGGTGACTGCGAGCATTTCTGTCTGCTGATGAGGTCATTTAAGAGGCGCTTTATTCTATTATCTACACTATTATTTTAATGTAACAGTTTAGTAAGGCTTGAGATAGCCAGAGGTAGTGAAGCTAGACAGACATTCTCATACACCTTTGAGAGAGTCGGTAGCTGTGTGGTAGATCAACTAATGACCAACACATAGCACCCAGCTGAACTGAACCAGCGTGGTGCTGGGTATGGAAGGTCCATCTGAGGATTGTTGTCAGCAATGTAAAAGGAAACCTGGAGGAGAGGCTGGTGCGCTGTTGATTCCCTGGAGGAGCTTGTCCCACTGGCTTTTCTGATACAAACTCAGTTTTCTCTTTGTGGGAATTGCTAGGGGCCTCGCTGTTGCTGAGGGTGGCTGCCCCTCTTCCCCTGGACACTCTGCCCTCATCTTAAGTGTTGCTTCCTGGCTCCGGGGCAGCTCCCTCAGCCTGCTGGCCGGTCCTTCAGCCTACTGGAGAAGATTTTCTAGCTTGCACCACTGACCTTTGGGCCCTCCGGATGCAGATCCTTCATACAGACTTGCATGAGACATTGTCATGGGCTCTAGAGCTCCAGTTGACCCATAGAGGACATTACTGTGGGTTTCAGGTCTTCACTTGGTCTCATGCAGGACACTGCTGTGGGACCCAGGTCCTCAGCTGGAGTCTTTCGGTCTCTAGGGCGTGGAGAGAACTCTTATGTATTTGACTCTTTGGGGGATTATTATAAAATGATCCTATAAATTATGTATCTATTCCCTTCTGTACTCTAACTACAGCAGGCTACAACCTCTTTGGAAGTGACTTGGAATTGCGCATTAAAATTCAGCCGTCACCCTTCTAGGAATTTGTAGCACTGATCAAAGCTGCATGCACAGGGGACTTGGTTATGGCATTGTTCGTAAGAGCAAAAACTAGCAACAGCCAGAGGGCTGAGCATGAAACTCAGTGAGAAACCACTTACATGAAGAGGATCCCCACATGCAAAGGAATGCGATGTGGCCCCAAAAAGGGAGTGGGGGACCTCAGTGCAGTGCTGTAGAAAGAGTTCCTGGGCAAATCATACTAAGGAGTAAATGCAAGTTCCTCAACAATATTGTAGTATGACTGAACCTGTATAAAATCTAAGAGTATGGAAACTTCTGGAAAAAGTACATCAGTAATTAACATTAAGTACCTCTGCAAATTGTGATAAGCAAGAAATTTCCTTTTATATTATTTGAATCATTGAAATAACTGAATTATTGAAATACACACTATTTGATTTTCTTTACTATGAACATTGTGTTTTTGTTAACTAATGACCATAAAATTTAATTTGCTTTTTTACCAGCAAACATTAACAACACGTAGAACATTAACAAGACATTTATCATTAAAGCAAAAAAATTCATCTGAAAGCATGAAGGAAAGAAACACTGGCCAATGTGAGCATCCAGATTTAAACCCCACACTTCTGATATCCTAACAACTCTGGC